AGTCCTAAACAAAGTAACAGCACAGATATACCAACTACAAGAAGAAAAATAATAGACCAACTTTATTAATTATTTTACATACAACAATATGGAATACCAGAATAATTTTAATTTTTTGCAACTACCATTAAAAACTATTACGACACTATATCAATACAAACTAAGGTTATAATTGTTATTTCGATTTTTTATACACAAAAAACACTTCAAAGTGAAGATGCCGTGTTTTGAACTGTAATAAAATTATAGATATTTTACCAGCCCTTGAAATAATATTATAAATAACAATTTTTATGGGACTATTAAACTAGAGAATAATATCAAAAGAAAAATTGATTTATAAACAAAGTAATTGAAACGCTGTGAGTAAATAAAAACTTTATTAATAAAGACGTAGAGTCTTTATTATTTTATAATAAATTGTAACAATATTAAATTAATTTAACAGTCCAAGTTAATGTTTTGCTTAACCTTTATATGACTATAAAAATATTGTGTAAAGTTACTCATAATTATACTATTTACATACTTTCTTCACTCTTTATCATATAAAATTAAATATACTTTAAGATTATTACAAAATCACACTAACTGCATATTTTTTTTGGCTGGATGTAAAAATATCTTCATAAGATCCCTGACTTTGTCATATTTATCAAAATATTCGTGTTTCATGAAATATATTTTTTGTATATTTTTATTATTTAAATAACGAAATAGTAATGTCGAAAATAATATAAATGGTAATGAGGCATGTGATCCGACATAAAACAATCCGAATTTATTAACGTTTTTGATATAAATGTTGAAATATATATTTTTTCTGAAACAAAACGATAACGTTATTTCGCCAGTTGAGCTTTGATTACACATCAAATGAACCAATTAAATGTTCAGCAAACATTAAATAATAAAATGTTTGTTATTACTTTCCGTATGTTATAAATATTACTTTTTTTCACGAATAATGAAAAATAATATTTTTTACGTCGTGTTAAATATTACAAGAGATATTTGCTTTGAAAAAATCTAGTATTAATATAAAAAACGTAATATTTCACCTCGCGGTCTGTGTATTGTTTGTTTGCAAAAGGATTTGGTATCGTTATAAATTTAATGGTCAAGATTGATTTTATGCCAGCTATTAGTATAGGAACTGCGAGCTCCATCATTACTGAGATCTGTGATAACGTTTTATAACAACTAGAAGAAACACTGAATAATATTCAACGTTTCAACCATCCTACTTATTTATTGTTTTTTTTAACACATTACAGTAGATAAGAAGTGCAAATATTATAAAAAATTACAAAACTTTGTCTGTAACAAAATTTTCTGAATTGACCTTATGCCTAGATGTGTTGTTAAGCACCAATACAATAATTTTCCCTATAAATAATTGACTCTACTATGATTAAATTAAAAATTTAAGCTGACGGAAAAAAATATTAGAACTTCGTAAGACAAAATAGAAAATGAACCATCGGTGGTGAAGTGACGGCTTAATATATAAATATATGACTTACTTACTGACGATATCTTCATAGGTAATTCTACTAGAATGTGGTATTCCAATAATTTCAGGTTCGAATCTTAAATGAATGTTTTTGCGGATTTTTTAATAAAATGTTAATTTAATTCTTTTCTCCAACTCTCATTTATTATAAAAATATCAGTGAATGAAAAGCGATGTATATAATTTTTGGTTCAACTTTTATTATTCATTTATAAAGCTTGTTACAAAACTAACATTCCGTCTTTTTACCTGTGTAAAAAAAATGACAGAGAAAACAACACAGAGTTGACGAGTTGCTTTTTGAAAATATTCGTAGCAAATTGAGAGCTTCCCTCTTTTTAGGAAATGCCTAATGAGTTCTCGTTCCAGCTTTGAATAGGAATAAAACGTGAAATAGACCGAGCGGTCCAGTTATTTTCTTATTTGCTTTGTTTGCAAGAATGTAGATTTGATTCGGTTATTGGTCCACTCTAGATGCAATTCCATCAATAATAATATTTCAATTTCGTACAAGCCGAACTGTATGATTTTTTTTTAATTTTTAAAATAGACTACCAGTTGTTAATTGTTTGAAGTAAGTATAGCTTCTTTGCAGGATTTGCAGGATTTTTTTAGAATCACCATTTTAAAAATGAGTTTTATTGCCTATATTTTTATTTGATACTTATTTTAAAGTCATCTGAACATAATATATTAAAAAACATGTTGTATTTTTTAATATTTTTAACCGATCAATGTGAAGTAAGCCAATAAACAACGCGCTTAGACAAGTCAAATATTTACACTATGTATGTACGTCGCATGTTAGTGAATAGAGAGGCGAGTAGACTTTATTTAACATTAACTTGTTACTTGTTAGTTATTGCTTAGTTACCTCCACGTGACAAACACAATATCACCTAAATTTGAATTGACTTAAAACATTCCAGTCATTTTTCTATGGTTTGATTTAAATGGAACCTGAAAAATCTGATAAACCTGAAAAATAACCTGAAAAATATGCTATATATCTGAACCTGAAAAATAACCTGAAAAATATGCTTCATAGAAAGATTAAAAAAACACTAAAAAGTTTCTTAATATTATTTTAATTCCTAGTACTTAATAACTTTTTTCATGTTTCCATCTGCGTTAAATCAACATTTTTTAAAAGCTGTTAATTATTTTCTCTTAAAGTATTTCCTGAACACTAATATTTCCTTTAAAATTCTTATGAATAGAAAAATCTGACTTCAATTTTATATAACGATATTGAACAATTTTTTCTCCTTTTATGTAATGAGTGATTAAGGATTAAGTGATGTACAGTGACAATGAACATACAATATTGTAATCACGTTGTTCGAAGCTTTACGAAGCGGATTGAGTTTATTACAATTTACACAAATAACAGACGATCTAACTTCTATATGCTTGTATTTACTGAAGATTTGTTGGACATTTAAGAGAACTGGTACCATCATCTAGGTTTATCGTCGTCTAAATTTTATTCAAAGCTTTTCGATTATGTGATTATTGTGATCATGAACCAAAATAGGGGGAGGGTTTGTAATCTATAATACTTCGAATTCAGTCAGTCATTTCCTCCCAAATCGTCGTATTGGAGTAGACGGATAAGGATAATTCGATTAATTTATACGAAAGTAATTAAGAGAGCTGATAAACTCGATTAATGTTTCATTTTATTTATAATTATCATGCTACATGCTAACGTTTCATAAAAGTATTTCGTACGAAATAAATTTAATTAATATTAATTTTTTCTATGAAATATTAAAAAATACGTATTTTTTTTAAGATTTTCAAACTAAATACATTTCTAACCCAATTATAATCTTTTAGCAATAATATTTTTATTTAAACCCAGAGATTGTACAAATATATTAACTATTAGAAAAGCTTTAAAACACACAAAACAATTTTGTTTTCTGACAAACTTAGTAACCGAACAATTATTTCACACTCGAATAGTTTGTAAGTGTGACCACTACTAGCTTAAACAGCTGTACTTGAGAGTAAACATTGTCCCAAATCTCTCTACCCATTTAAATTTTACGATGTTGATGTTAAATGGAATAACTTCGTAGATGACTTTGAATATAAACAAAATATGTATATCATATAGGCTGTCGGTTGAGAGTTAGAACTATATTAATAAACTTAATTAAAAAAATTACACATAAATTAAAATTAATTTTTAATAATTAAATTACATAAAATACAAAACCCTTATAATTTCTATCCCAAACCAGAAATCAATTAACAAGACAAGCCCAAAGTTAATTAAGCAAAAACAATGTAACCCGGTCATTGTCACATCAGACCTCAATCACGGCGTTGAATTAGGGTCTATAATAAACAATAAGACGGCACAACAAAAGCGACTAATCTGAGAAAAAAAAAACAAAAGGAATCAGCAACAGAAAGGTAACAAAGAAAGCTCGGCATCACGACTCCGTACAGATTAGAAATAAATAGGTCAATTGACTATTGTATAGATTTGCTATTTATTTTAAAAATACATTCCTTTAGTTAAACTGTAATAGGAAATGTAAACATTATATAATTATATATAATCTAAACGAAAAGAAAAATGAAACATTTTTTTTTGTCGGATTACTACGTGTATTTTACAATATTATTTTAACAACTATAATATACTCCTGACGTTTCGGTTACTTTTCGGCAACCGCGATCATGGGTAGACGAGATGTGAATGTCTGTCAGTTGGTGTTGTTATTTATCATCTACAGACAACGATTTCTTAATTTTCTGGACTATCGCTCTGGATTTTGAATCGTTAAAAGTATTTACAGTATTCACATTGCAGTTAATGTTGAAGCAGAATTATATCTAAACTATGTATGTAGTATCAGTAATATTTATTAATATTAATTCCAAGTACTGATTATCATTAACGGATATACAGAAACTTAGCTTTGATAGAGCATTTATTAGAATAATTCTGATACTCAAATAGAGGTCTTAAGCAATCAACAACAAATAATACGCTGAAATAAGGAAATGTTATGGAATACTCTGAATGAAATTCGATTATGACAAACTGTCAGAGTTATTATAACGTGAGATTGATTTTCTGTTCTTCACATGAATGTCACGGGTTTCTGACTCTTATGAAATAGATATGTCTGGAAAATATATCTGTTACTAAAGACAAATAATGCGTAAGAAATGCGAAATGTTGTAAATTTTTATACATAGGTCGAAATTAAATTGTTGTTTATTTAGGACAAATACTATGAAGAATTTTTATATAATTTAAAATAGAAAAAATATGGTGATACAGTTTATGTATGAATTTAGAGCGTATTTATTAAAATATATATTTGTTCTGTGTTATTGTTTCATCTGGAGTCCATATAGTGTTTGGTATTAAAATACACGAATCACGCAGTAGCTTTCGGTACTGCTGATTTTTGTGCATTGTTATGCTGTAGGCATCTGACGTACCAATCTACGTGTAATGGATTTTAAACAATTGGTGCATAGTTCGTAATACCGATTGCTATCTTATAGGGTATTTTTTGAGTAGTTTTCTAGTATATTTTTAGCTAAAATAGTCATACAATTGATTTTCGAATCAGTATTAATGAAAACGAAAAGAATAGCTCTATGATATTTTTATTTGCTTGCCTTCGTCATGTTGATTAATATGTCACATAAATATATATTTTTTTTGCAGTGAAATGAATAATTTTGCTACGTGAATAATTTTCTTATTTCTGCTAATCAGATATTCTTTTCCCTAGGTGGGATGGCTCCGTGCAGAGGATCAAACGGTTTTAACAATGCATGAGCGGGCTGTCCTTGGCTCGAGGTATGCGGTCAGTCTCGACGCTCCACGCACGTGGCAACTTCGAATCAGACCTTTACGAGCTGAGGATAGAGGCTGTTATATGTGTCAGATAAATACGCAGCCAACCATGACCTGGCAGATTGGCTGCATCGATGTTTTTGGTAAGTCCTATCTAGAAATAAACTTGCTTACATAAAGTTATTTAATATAAATGGTTATATATTAAGATTAGAATGAAACAAGCTTGGTATGAACATTGGCACAGTAAGTGACAATAACATTCTTGTAATACTCGTAATTTATAAAATTAGAAATGAATTTTAATTGATATCTCCGTCAGTAGTTTTTAATATTGTGATGCTGCTATAAAATATTTACTATGGCAAGTAAAGTATAAAAAAACCATTTTGCTATGATTTGAAATGGTCTTTCTGAGCAATGATAACAAATATGCAATATCCATTGTATGAAAATTTGTAATACACTTAACTTGTTCTGACGTATTTTGATGTAACTTCTGAAACTTTGTTTTGTTTGCAATTCCTAAGATCAATTAACAAGTTTCTATTCGATACAACTTAGTAAAGATCTCTGGAATTGTTCAAATATTATAATAGGGTACGCAAAATTCTAGGGCTCTTATCAATAACTTGTTCAAACAATAATAATAGTTGCAATAGCCTTTACAGTTTCATTCTCTGATAAGAGACTTAGAGATATTTAAATGATAACGAGATAAATATCTAAATAAAATGACAGAGCTTCTCCGAATTTTATTGCTATAACATAGAATTCATTATTCATAAGATATTATGTAATTATTATTCTATAAAACCTCTTGCAATTTCTCATAAGCAATAACATTTCTATTTTCAAATGTCTAAAGGAAATAAATCGGTACAAAAATAACGTATAGTTTGTACATAATGCTTTAAAGTTTAAATAGATTCTAAAAGAGCATTATACTTTGTAATCTCGAATATAAAAAAGGCTTTTTAAAAATAATTCTTGTTAATAACTCTATATTATTTCTTTCTGTGTTCTTTTTTTTGTTTCTTGCTTCTCAACATCACTATGAAAAATCACAGCTTTTTCATATTATAACTTAAACAGGTAACCTCGCACCCCTTTTAAAGATATTTTCGCGAACGGATGAACGTGCAATTTATCTGAGTCAAATTTTATACAGAAAGAAAAATCTAAAAAAATTGTTAAAGAATATGTTTGTTATACAATGAATTAATTAAAACAAACATAACACCGTACATATAATATGTATATCACTGAATAATCCTCAAAGTATTATAACTAAGGATGTGGCGTAATGATTTTACTATCCTACTGCCGAAATTAATATAATTATCTATATTCGAGTATCGACTGCCGGTGAAGTGTAGCATATAAACTTTTAATGATCTTATTACTTTTGCAAAGATATGATTTACTATACTTGATGTAATATTAATAATTCTTATCATATAAATTTTTTTCGTTCATAATTAAAAATGCGAACAAAATATCCATTTCAATTATATGGTTAAACTTTGTAAAACTCGTCTTGATTGTAAAAGATTTTTCGTAAAGCTTCAAGTCGGGTTTTATTAAAACAGTTAAAAATAAAGTAAAACACTGTCAGTCGGCAATTTATATGGCAGGGGCGAGGCGGATGGAAGCGTGTCTGCGGCCCTCATAAATAAGAACCAACCCCTTGAACATTAGTAATGGAGTAAATAAGGGAAGGCTGATATATAATGGAAGAAACTGATTAGATTCACGTTCAATACGATTGTTTAATCTACTTTTCATTATAAGGTGTACATAAATTATAAAAATGAACTTTATTTATATGCATACAAAGTAGAAAATATTATCTTAAAGTGTTAAAAGGATGTTATATTTTAAACGATTTTCAGTAACTGTCCTTTACTTTTGTATTACTTATAAAATACAATAACGGTACTGAAATAGAGTTCAGGTGTTTTTCGTTGAAACGTAATACAATTATTCTCAGGTAAATTGTATTCGTTTTAAATCGACAGTGAATTTTAAAACCCTTTTATTTCATTTATATTATTTAGAAAAGTGATAGAATATTTGAAAAACATTTATGAAGTGTTTCGATTTCTAAAAGAATGTGAATGTTTATTGTCGAAGGTTGTTTTTGAAAGGCTAATGATAATTTTGAAGTTTTGATATAGACTTAACTAAGATTTTTTTTCGTTATACTTATTTACGAAACAAATATAAAGTTCTGTACACTTTAATTTAATTTTTAATTTAGTTTTCACTATTTAGTTTATGAAATCCTGAACTTAAATAGTCAAAGATCTATTACCGATGGGATAAAATTATCAGTGAATGATTTTTTAAATTTTGATTTGATTTAAATACTGAGGTTAACACTTATTCAGTAATTAAAGCAAGGCAATAAGCTCCTTATCAAAACAAAATGATATTTCAGTAATATTAATTCGCAACAATACACGAGTAGCTCATGATTTTTCCATGTCTGTCAGGGACTAGGACATATTAACATAATGAGATTGTCGAATAAATTATTCATTAAACCAATACGGACCCGTAACCTGGACTAATGTCAAAGTACTATATTCATTAATACCATTTATTGATGTATTAATGATGTCTAAATATATCCTAACATAATATTTGATAATTTCCTTACTAGTTTGCTAAAAGTAATGAACTTAATCTATCCAGGAGTAGTAGTTTTATCAATTTATTGTCATAAGAAATGGATCTAAATCTCTATTTATCATCAATAATTGATTAAAAATGTTATGATTTTATAGAATATAGTGAATTTATGCATTCTAAAATTCAACTATACAAAATGTAGTATTTCTTAATATGAGATATTTTACCTAATATTAAGACCTTTGCAAAATTTACTTTTCTTCAGTTTCAATCAAGACTATGTAAGCAAATATCTCTTCGTCTTTATGTAACCTTGTTTGAGGTTTTAATCTAAACATATTGTTTAAATTTCACTGTTCCTATATAGTGATGATATAATACATATACATATAACCACAATATAGTATAACCACACAGCTTTATTTAAAGTGGGGTGAATTGACTTCTTATAGATCGAAGCAAAGACTTACACGTGACTTCCTTGTATGTGTATCTTTTATGTTGCTCATAAAGAGTTGATCTTAGTATGTGGGGTATAAAAAATACGTGAGGAGTAAAAGTGAACGATAAATACATATTTTATATAGTATAGTTTGAGTTGGAAGTTACCTGCTAATCCAGTGAAGGAAATAACCATTATCTGACCAGTTGTTTGTACTTCCTTGAACTTACAATCATGTCTGGTCATGGTGTCATATAAATATTTATTTAAATCCATATAAGTCATATCTATGATTGTCATTGAGTTCAATAATGTTGCTCCTAATATACCCGTATATCCTTTCAGGCATTTGAGAGACTTTTTTAAAACAAGAGGCAGTGACATTGTAACACTGACATAGTGGCGTTGAATTTAAATTAGGTATTGTTTAATAAAAATTTCTTAATAAAAATATATGATACGAATACAATACAATTTCTTTGTGTTCTTCTTTTTATATCATTAAAGCTGATTAAGAACTTCTGGTAATTTAAAAAAAGATTTTGAAATAAATTATAGGAAAACATTACGTCCGATGAAGAATTACAAAGGAGAATTTTTTGCTTATTTTATTTTTATAACTGTTATGGAATTTAAAAGCATTTAATTTTGCCTTATTAATTATAGAATTTTTATCAAGCGGAACAGAATTTAAGCGAATTTGCACTTTATTCTCGTTATAAAAAGTTTAAAATTAGTAGGCATATTTTAAACGGCTTAGAATAGAGGTAATAAAAATATTATATGTATTATTTTAAAATAACCTCATTAAATTACTCTTCATAAATTATGAACGCCTTTTTTTGAGAACGGAAAAGCGCTGAATAAATGAAAAGAAAATTTTATAATTAGCTACATTATTAACATCTGCGCTTGTGGAGATCATTTTGATTGCTTGTCAGTTTAGTATTAATTAAATAAATTGTATGACAAAGAAATGTTTCTTTTTGAAGTCCTTATAATGAACTCTTTTAAAGTGTGGTTTTGTGTTCTATATATTTTTTAAATAACTTTTTGACTGCTTCGAGATTAGTTTCATACTTACTAAAATGACAATAATACATATTGTTGTCAGTGAACATAATCCAAAAATATAAACATATTTTTTTAAATTATTTCTACGTATTTCAATATTTCCGCTATACCGCTGAAAAAATTTAAACTTCATCGAATTTCTCAGTAGTTAGTACTATAATTTATTAAAGATTCTGAAAATCGTTTTCTTTATAATAAACACAAACAAAGTAAAAGAATATTTGACAAAAAAACTCCTAGATCAAAACTAGTTATTTACGTAAATATCTCCGAGCAATTGTTTTAACTATCTTTTATATATTTATTAAGTGATAATTAGTTAGTTAAATATTACAAAATATATTTGAAAAATTAGAAATATTCTATCTTTCGCTTAGAGAAAATAAAAAAAATGTGAGGAATTTTCAGCTCATTATTATAATCACAATCATTATCAATTATTGAAATGAAAAGAAATGTTCAATATCTAGGAAGATGAACGTAAGCGGTAATTCTGATTCTGTAATACATTCAAACTTATGTTTGGATGAAGTTGAAAAGTTTATGAAATATTGTATGAATACCATTTCTTTTTAATTTCGAACTTGTTTCATACTTTATTGGAACCGATGTCACCGGCGCTGTCAACCAAAAAGTAGAAATATATATATTTAAAATCGTATGTAACACTGATAGAATGTACTTATGTAGGTATGTGTATATAAAAAAATATTACGTGATCAGAAAATGCATAGGTATGTCTTTTATGATTTTTTTTCGGAATAAATCCAAATATCTGATTGAATATTTATTTATTTTAATATGAATTAATGATGAAAAATATATTCTTGAGCCTGATATGGGTTCATAAAAAAAACTTATTCTTTATAGTACTCGGTTTATAAAACTATCAATATTATACGTGTAGTGATCCAACTAGAATAACAAAATAAAAATAATAAGAAAACACGTCACTTTGCAAACTAAAACAGTTGTTAAGCAAACATCTAGCAAGAAAATCTTGAACAAAGGCACATCGCAACGAAATGAAAATTTTAACGCGTCTTTACACAAAGAAAACAAAACATACCATATTTCTTCGCTGTAGTTGAGTCTTCTTGTATCTGTTTTATCACGTACGTGGAGTTACTCTTAATGATTTTCAATTTATACCTCGCGTATACTTATTATCCGAACTGAATCTGAACAATGAACGAACCGGCGAACGATATATTTGGATTTAAAAGTTTAATGGATTCAATTGTGGAAGTTATAGGTACATCTGGAAATAGTCGAAAGTCAGGTAGCGACCCGATAAATGATTCAGATATTGCTTGAAGCTTCATATATTCGCTGTGTAACGTTTTAGTTTTAAATATTTTATGTATGTACTTTTTTTGTTGCTGGTAAATTTTTGTAACTACATCTATAAAAAGTTTAAGTTTAAGAGTCTTGGATCACTACTGAAATGGCTTGATAAAAAATTTAGACGTGAGTACATGTGAGTAACAAAAAAACATATTATAATGGATACGTAAAATAAAACAGACGCTGGTCTGGCTAATTTCAAACAGAAAAATGATTTCCTATAAATTATACATTACAAGCAAACCTCGGGCAGTTCGGAAATGAATGTATTTGCCAGCCTCCAAATACTCGAAGTTTGGCAATTTACTTTTATTTGCGTCCGCGATTTGCATGGTGGGGAAGTCCCGATTCCTTTTCCAATTTCAAACTTGTTCCATATCCGAACGCGACCTGACTTTGTGACTCGATTAGTTTTTTACAGCCATTTTTCTTCGGCCAGTTGGTGTAGATGGAAATTTCTTTGGGATCTGTTCAATGTAAGTTTATTGTTCCTTTCTTTATTTCTTCTCCTTGTAGTTTCATTTAAAGTTTTTCTTTTCCCTGTTTCTTCTTTATAAAATATTATGATTATTGTCCATTCCATATTTTTTTCAACGAAGTTTATAAATCTAGTTTTATCCTACATAGTCATTTACTACATATTTTTTATCATCATATTTATTTAAAATATATGCGAAAAAAGTATTCATGCAAAACGTACTTTTCAATAAAAATAAATATATCCAGCTAAGCGTGCTTCATCATATCCCCAATGACAGGGCTCTCAAATATTCACACACGAAATATTATAAGCGTATTCTGAACAAGATATATAAAAACCTGTTATACTCTAAATTGTCGTACATCGAAAATGTCAATGGCTTAATTTCTTCCCCATGTAAATCCGTCGTGATTGATACGTCGATATAAATAAAACCCCACGGATCATTGGTCAATGGGATTAAGTATGATCGACGTTGCCAAGATGCATGAGGTTGGAACGAATATTGTAAAATTATTGTTCCTTTAATTTATATCGGCTTTAAAAGGCCTTTGTTAGAAGAGCTCTTGATGTTCGAGTGTTATAATGGCTGGCACTTTTTTTTTTGTTTCAAAGTGTTTTTCTTTCAACTCTGAACAAAATGTACACTTAATTAAATGGGTCGTTATATTCTATGGTCAATTTAAATTATGTATAACTTTTAATACTTTAATATCTTGGTACTTTTATAACATCGTAATTTATATGAAAACGAAATGCGAGTAATATTATTTCTTTGCCATTCATAAGAAAACGTACGTAATTAAGGGCCTAAAAACAAAATATAAATGTCTATGAGAAATGAAAGGGAAAGAACATGAATATGGACTGAGGTTTAGGGTGAGCTAAAAGAGCTAACATTTTTAACGCAAAAACTTTTTGTGGCTGAAAAAGAGTCCGTGAAAAAAGCTGGGGTTCACACAGACTTCAAAGTAAATAAAATGTACGTACACACGCTTTTGTATATCACTTGGTTCTTAATTTTTATATAAATAAAATAAAAACAAAAATGAATTTTTCTTCAAATAGAATACATCTATACACAACATTTTGTAAATGTCCTAATTTTATATAGAAAAGCAAGATAATGAGCTACTTTTTCTCACTAATGGTTTTGTATTAGCAGTAATGATTCTTAATTGCTGCAGCAACCTCATGAGAGTTTATGGCCAGAGTGTAGCTAATAAACTCGGTCCATACAACTCCCTTTAGGATTCTATTAAGTGTGTTTTACACGCATCAACAAAGTTAGCACACACTGTGATAATATATTTTATTCAAATGTTATTTCTTTGGAAGCGATACGTGGGTGTATACACGGTTTAATTTACAGAACTGACTAGTATGAATTCCACTAGGAAACACGAAGTAAATATAACATTAAACATTTGTAGTCTTTAAGAGTGGGCGATCAATTTCTTGGGATATATTTGATCAGAATATATATTATACTATATGTACAATCTGTAACTTTTTATTATATTAAGTAAGAATTATTAACTTTCTTTTTAATGCTAATATAATTAATTTTTATTATTTAAAAAGGGACGTTTCAGGACCTGTTTTTGAAGTGGAAAAATGGGACTTAACGAAATGAATAATGTTGTAAAACCTTTTCTTTGAGTAGAAAGGTACATAAAATGAATTGGTTTGAAGTAACGTAGGTAGATATGGTGGTGTTACATAACAGGCTGTTGGTATTGAAAAGTGGATAAATATATGATTCTGATGAAACAAAGTAACATGGTTAAAATAAAATTAATAATGCCGTGATATCAAAACTAGTATTATTAAACATGCAATTTGAATGTTAAAACATGAACATGTATCATCTAATCTCAATATAAATATTTGGTCTTTTCAATATTCTTTAGGTTGTAAATTTGGAATATGTTACTACAATGGTTAAGGACTAACAGCAAGATATATGGAGTTGATAACTCATTCCTTGATATGTATATGCTCCAATTTCATTTATCATGCGCTGTCAGAAAATGAATTTTGTGAAGCAACAGTATTGTTTTCAAACTCCATTTGCATTCATTGTGATGTTTGCTCTTTCATATTTTTCATTTCAATAAATGTTGGAGCCTTACCAAGTACACTGCCAGATATTGTAATATAATTATGTGCTAGATGCCTTACGGTATATTTGTTGTTATATTCATTTTGATATAATAAAATAGTAAAAATTATTATAAATGAAGATAACATATACTTAAATATATATAATATGTATAATTAGTATAAAAACTCAAAAAAACATATTTCTTTTACAAATATAGCTAAATATTTTTGAACATTCACTAAATATGTATGTTTTGGAAGCGACAAAAATGTAATAAATGACCTTTAATTAATGTCTAAAAGACTTCGTTAACAGCGCACCCTTTTATTGTAAAATTCAAAAGCCCTTAGAGCTTATTGTATTTCAGATACAAAATAATTAAAATTCAAGAGAAATTTCGTTTCAAATGAGAGGTGAAAATGTAATTGAGACTCGAATTGTGTTTTGTTTTGATTTGTGTTTTATTTTACTTAATCAATTACGTGTTTGTGATTTCCTTTTTTTGTCACCAGTACCACCAGATATTGTCAGCGATGATACATCAGGTGATGTGTCGGTTCAGGAGTTGGAAAACGCTACTTTGACCTGCAAGGCTACTGGCCACCCGCCTCCAAAAATCACCTGGAGACGAGAGGATCACGAGCCGATACTGTTAAAGAAACCGTCATCCAGGGATTTCGATAAAGGTACAATAATTAAAGGAACGCATTCGAAAAATACCGGTAAAATCTTATTTTACGGATAGAAATTAGTACATGACGCAACGTGATTTATTGATTCGGATAGTAATATTTCGTGTTAATCTAACATTTATACCCGAATTTTATTTCATAAGAATAAAATAGAGTTTTACAAACAATATGTGTAATTATTTTTATTAAACTTCAAGTTGTAATATAGCTTGTATTTTATTTAAATACGCATAGTTTCAATAAACAGAATTAAGAATATTTATAAATTTCTATCACTAACAATAAGACTTATTCTTTTTTTAATTTACTAACGTTTTCGTAAAGAAATTAAATGCATAAACACAGTTTTGTGAAAAATCCCGATTAGTGAAAACTTAGCAAGCTGATTTAATATTGTGGTAGTTCCATATGTTTATAAATAAATATAAAAAACTACTATTTTCAAAGTATAACTTTCATGTAGAAACCTTTATTCGTAGCACTAAGTAAGTCACAGGTGCGTTCGCAAATAGCTGGGAAGATTGGAGCGTGCTTCTTGCTCTTATTTCTATTTTCCGCTCCGACAAAGATGGCGCTGGCATCGCATTTATTAAATGTCTGTTTGGTTACGTTGAACGTATTAAGGGAATGCGGTATAACCTTTTGCTTCCTTATTCATACTTAATTTATATAATATTTCAAAAAAAAATTCCTATAATGATTTCACGAAACATAAAATAGCAAAAAATGTAAGAAGAAAACGCTCTGCATAATAGTGGATTTTATTTCACTAGTAACTAATGGCTTTGAGCAATCATAATTAAGATGGAAAAGGATTCCGTCAGATATCAGGATAACCTGGCTCGAAAATAAAGGAGAACTCAGACTTAATCATTCGCTTCGACTGACGCTGAAATTGAACTTCCATGTCTAGGAAATTGATGAGTTTCGATGTTAAAATATAGTTAATACATTTATTTCAGTGCCATTTTTAAATGGAATCGAATTTGTATTTTAAACTACGCTGCATGCAAAAACAAAAAAGAAACGTGTATGTCACAATATTAATTTTATTTTGATGTATAAGTCCATTGTGTTGATAAATTATTTCAGAATGAATTCCATTTTAAATTATTCTGCGCTTCTGGAACCATTTGTTCAATAAATTTGGTTACACGCTGACAATGCATTCAGCCCCAGAGACATTTTCAATAAAGGAATATAATATTATAGCTACAAATTTTGATATGAAAATGAAGTGCATGATTATGCATAGTAATTCTTAAATAACAAAAAAAAAATCCATTAAAGATTACATAAAACACGGCTCATATCAAACCAACGATCGATTGTATTCGGTTACTTTAAATGTAACAAAAACGATATTATAGCGTTATTAGCTCGAGCATTTAAATATAATTACGTAATTGCTGAAGGCCTGTAATAACACTTTTAATCAGACTTACAAGATATATACAAAATGACAGGTCATTACGATGGACCTAATAATGTATTGTGTTATAAAAAAAAAACACTATAATAAATTTTAACTGTTATATTTATTTATATTTGTTCCTCAAAATTTTTGCATATCAAATATCTGGCCAAAAATAATTCTAATGGTAATATTATATCTCTTTTTTCATAGTTGAAAGTTTCGTGGGTAGTTCGATGCCGTTGTGGCGTGTTGACAGACGTCAGATGGGTGCGTTCCTTTGCATCGCCTCTAATGACGTCCCACCAGCAGTCAGCAAAAGGATCACACTCAACGTTAATTGTGAGTAAAAATATATAGAATTTATAAATATTAATACACCCCAAATACCACTTTTTCAATTCTTTATACAGATTATGTATTCATTTACATTTTAGTACGTACATTAGGTATAAAGTAGCTTTTCTATGCTTGTCTATGAATGTATCTTAATAATAGTATATTTTTTAATTAACAGGATTAGTAATTTTATGAGTATTTCAAGATAAATATGTATACAGAAAAATGTTGGTAAAAACTTGAACGATATTCGAAAAATAATTTTGGTGGCATATACCTTCTAGTACCACTTAAATGTCTGATATAAATTATACGTATGTACTCTTAAATATATATTATTAAAGAAATATATTGAGCAAATAACATATTTTTTTCTTATAATTGGCTCGACTTCTTCAAATGAAAAATAATATATTATTCGATATTGATTATAAAATCCCTACTAATATTATAAATGCGAAAGTAACTCTGTCTGTCTGTCTGTCTGTCTGCTACGCTTTCACGCCTAAACTACTGAACTGATTTTAATGAAATTCGGTACAGAGATAGAGTTGACCTTGAGAAAGAACATAGGATAGTTTTTATCCCAGACTTTTGAAAGGTTCTCTTGGAAACGCGATATAACCGAACTCCACGCGGCGAAGCTGCGGGCGGAAAGCTAGTATTAATATAAACGACATCATCAAATATGAAAGTTAAGATCAAAGTCACACATATAAAACATATTGCGAAGATATAAGATTACTTTCTTATTCAACATATAATTCAAAACAATTTGAGCTCTATAGAAATATGAGTAAGGTATAATTTTAAACAATTAGTAACAGTCTTATACGTATTAAAAGAGATTTATGAATTTATTGAAATGAAAGTAATATGGAATATAAATCTTGTTTACCAAAGAGAACGGACAGGCTTGTTTGTTTTGAACTAGTCTCAACAGATGTCACCACAAGTAGAAGGTAACTTTGTCTTTACAAACAACTGTATCAATATTCATTAAATATGTGTTTGTTTACTTTTGATAGAAACGTGAATGATTCTTTTGTTTCAAATAAAGTTTTGACATTAAAAAACAATATTAGTTATAAAGTAATTAATATATCTATTGATTCTTTAGATCTATTTTAATATTGAACACTTTGGCAGAATACAATGGTTATTTTTAGACCGTTTTTTTGTACTTGCAATGCCCAATGAAATAGATGAAAACTAAGTTGTGTTGTATTTTTAATTATAGTTACTAATATTTCTTAAATATTTAAAAATTTAAGGTACGTTTTTGCCATAAATTTTTCAAGTATAAATATTTTTTTATTTCATTTCATACCCGAAATTAAAAAAAAACAGGTTTATTTTATCTGTTTTGATATAACTTTTATTTAAATGTGGTTGAGTAAAAATTTCATTAAAAATGGCAGCATTTTAAACGATTCTTCTTTATTTTCATCAAATGGTCCTGTATTGTAGTTTATACGACACGAGAATGTAGGTAGCCGGGCCTGGCTGGCTGCCAACGTTCATCTGTCAGGAAATAGGAATCCTCAGATGCACTTTACAGCCGTATTATATTGAAGTAAATATATACTCACCTGCATTTTAAGTATAGTCAAGCCACTCTGCAGTTGAGTTATCGATACTCGGAGTATATTTAATATTTATTTCCATTATATATCTATTATTGCTCGTGACTGTCTTTGATAGTTTAAGTTTTATTTGTCGCAGTGACACTTCCATTCATAGAAAGAAAATAAGCATACAATATGACTAAAAGAATATTATTATTATTTCTACATAAAACTCAAAGTGACGTTTTTGTGTAAAAAGCAAATTTATAAAAACATTCTTTATATTTTTTAGTTGAATTGGTTATAGAAACAAAAGGAGGTAGGGACTTTATTCCTTTATATACATAGATTTAATCAATAACAAAAAACCTACGCAATGATTGTACGTTGATTAAACTGGCGCACGTGGAACACTTGATCGTGTAATCATGGACTATAAAGTGAGTTAGACCGATGTATAGCCACAGAAACAGGACTGGCTTGAAATTTAAAAAACTGGTCAATCTGTATGAGCGTTTACGATGAAACAGGCAGATACACACAAAATCACACACAAACACATACACACACACATGCAGAAGGAAATCTAAAGCAAACTGATAATACTCCTCTGCTAGTTGCGGGGGCTAAAAACCGTTGTTGATACAAATAATGTAACTTCTTTTAGATATATGTTTAGTAACAACATTTTAATAATTATGTTGATGACGCATCAGAGCTGTGTATTGTGAATTTAATGAAATTCGTGATATAATTAATTAATTACAGTGTAGGATCGAGTGAATGTTATTTTGTAATAAGTAGCTTTAATTAACAGTCGCAACATATATCATGAGTTTAGAATCAAATAACAAATAGAATAATTAAATATTACGAAGTAGAGAATTAATATTTTCAGTGTTAAATTTTGCTGACTTTGTTATATGCCTTTTTAATATATTTCTTCTCAGTCGCCCCTACAGTGAAAGTGCCAAATCAATTGCTGGGCGCCCCTCTCGGGACCGACGTGAAACTCAAGTGCTACGTGGAAGCCTACCCTAATACCATTAATTATTGGATTAAGAACAGGGGAGAGATGCTACTTGATGGGTGAGTTCACTTATACATAACAGAGCAACTTCTAGAAATACCACAAGAAAGTACAGTCAACTACGATGTCTATAGTTCAAGGTGTAAATATATAATAATACTCGTAGCTTGACGTACTATCTGACGCTATCTGAGAAAGATTAATCAGACCATTGTATGCCATTATTTTATTATTGTATGAAGTGTTAGATAAAATAGAAAAAAAATCTTCCGGAATAAAAAGTTTTTGTACCTTATTTATTATTGCACAAGGACACCATAAGAGAAATCAATATTTATATTAGAAACTCTTAGCTTATTTTTTGAAATACTTCCATGACAACCATTTAACGTCTCAATAGATTTAAAATGTTAATTGTAACATCTATTTTATATTGTGTCTATCGTTAAAACACGAATTAGCACTATTGCTTCCTATTTTAACTACAAAAATGCTATAATATTAAATTATATAATACAAACATAATTAATTTCTGTTTAAAATATTCAATTAGTAGAATTGTTTATAAAATTTTAATGTTGGACAATGTTTAAAATCAAGAAACTATTGAACGTTACATAATATTTCGCTGAATATATTTTGTCTTATTTTTCTCTCAATTACATTACATTGCACGTACAGAATATTTTTCAGTATGAGCTCAAGTTGAACAAACCACCCACAAATTCTATTAAAGGTCGCTTCATTCCTTGAGGGAATTCTAAATTATATTTCCTTTCTAGACTTTAAAATGCGTTTTGAAGTTAATATTGTTTTTAATAAAAATATAAGAAATATCATATAGTTGTTTATATTGGGGAAGCGTGGTTCACTCTCATGATGAACCAACTTGTCTCTTTTAGGGGAAGCAGATAAAATTTGTTTTATGTATACAATTAACTTTATTGTTCATAATAAAATAAAGAAACAATATAAGATACGTGATGCGACTTCCAACGACACGATTCCTTCTTAAAGTAAATTTTATTGACCATTCGTTCTCGACTGTGTGCATAAAGTCTTGTAGCATTGATTAAACAAGTTGAAGTTTAATTCTGTTGAAAGCAAAATGTTTATTACATTTTTTTTTCTTTCACAAAAATATAATGAGATTATTCCATTTCGTGGTGAGATTAAAATAGAAAGATATAATATCTTTTCAAATCGGCATCCTAAAATATTTTTATAAGATATCTGTTATTTTTTTTTAATGTTTTAAGCTGTGTAATAAAAGTTAGTCGTATTTTGTTATTTATGAACCAATCGAAGAATAAAATTTTTACTCAAGCCTAGAACAACATATTTTAAACCAGAATTAAAGATTATTACACGTTTTATTTCACTAAGAAACTACGAAAAATATCATTTTAAATTATTATTTATAATATAATTGTACAGGAAATTCATCCCGGACTCAGGAATACATTTGTGATTAATTGGTCTTAACATAAAAGTCTACAAAATATGTTACTTTATTTTTTATATAGATAAAAATTAACCCTTCTCAGGCCAAAGTACACAATCCGTGAAGAGAAGACGTCGTACAAAGTGTCTATGTGGCTGACTATTAGACAGTTCTCCAAGAGTGACATCGGGACTTACAACTGCGTTAGCACCAACTCGTTAGGGAAGAGCGAAGGAACTTTAAGGCTTTATGGTAATGTATAAACCCTACTTGGTATTAGAAAATGTATATGTCACATGTATTTCATAATAAAACAGCATAATATGTATATATAAAGAAAAATATAAATAATATGCTAAGTGCAATATAGATTTACTAGTTAAAATTATAACGTCTTAAATAAGTCAAAGACGAAAGACGTCATCTACTGCTCTATGTGTCACAATATTGCCTTGTAATTTTACCTTCAGGACAGTTATTTTATTTAATCACATAACTAATAAACAAATAATTCATATATACATATTTAAACCTACATTTATGTGTTACGAATGTTTACGTATTATATAAACAAGTAACATAATGTACTCACTACATACCGTATCAGGCAGCATGCATAAGAAGCTATTCTAAAATAAAGTACTATTGGCACGCTACTTTCATTTACCACCGTTTGGGTTGGCCTCCTGCCAGGTAAACACGTCGATAGCTTGACATTTTGAGCTCATTACCGAGGAGCAATTCTATTTATTATTTCGTTTATTTCAAATTGCTTTTAAACCACATAGTTTTCTTCTATCCAAATATTATTCTACTAATAAAAGAAAGGCGTGGCTTAAGCATAATTTGAAAGAAGTCATGGATAAAATTCGACGTCGTACAAAAGTTATTAGTAAAATTGCTTCCAAAAGATATTATGTGAAGTGTAACTCGTCCTTTTTAATATTTTACAGAAATTAAATTGAACTCATACTCAGAAGATTTCAGCAATCAAATTAGCGTCGCTGGAGGTAAGTATTCGGGCGCTTTTTGTGATATAATGTCAAACTTTACTGCTGCTAACTTTGTTCAAAAATTAATTTTAAAAGATATTAGTGTGACAATCAGTCTATGAACTTACGAAATTCTATTTAATCATCCCACGAACGCTTTAAAACTGTTCTTATTACTTTGACTATCATACAAAATTATGAATTTATTTATATTAAAGTACATATTTTAATAATAAAAGTAGAATGACTGTACTGAGATAATTAAAAACTTGTTTTTAAATACAATAAGAATTTAATATTAACTACACAACTTTTATAATTTCAAGCATATTCTATTTAAAGCTTATGGATTTTTTCCTAAATGACATATTTTCGTTAATTTATATATTATAAAATACGTATAAATAATACATTATGTAAATTTTATAATGGAAATAATATAACAGTTATGTTGCTAAAATAGTATTCAAATATACTCCAACAACAAGCTATAACTTCAAGCTGTAAAATAAAATGTATGCTTAGAAATTTACATGTCTCATACACCGGCGTGTGACATGAATTAGAAACGCAATGAATTTCAAATGAATTGCACTCGTGGTCAGTCTTCCTTCCAGCGTTTCACTGCTATAAATTTTAGTATCTCTTGGTTTAATAAACATTTCATAACACTTATTAAAAAAAATGGTGTGAGACTTTTAATAATAAAGTGTTCTTTTTGTTACTATCAAAATGGAAGATTTAGAAATAGCAATCCATCTGCATAAAAAATTTAGGTTTTATAAACATAGATACTGTTTTTATCACGTACAATCTTAAGCTTCCATATAAAGCGGTATATATCGAATATGCAGTTTTATAGGAATGAAACAAAATTAAAATAAAGTAGCAATGTATAACATTTAATAGAAACTTTTATTCAGTTTTATCTTTATAGAAAATAACATAATGTGTTATTCAACAGGTCTTACAGAAGCTGCCAAAGGGAACTCTGAGAACAAATTGCAATCTGAAGTAACATTCCTTATAGTATTATTTTTAGTGTATTTATTAAAGTTGACGTAGGTCTTGTACATAAGGTGTTACGATATTTGCTTTAATCATAATTCAACTACATGTTCGCATTTAACTCTTGTAAATATGTGTAATTAATATTTATTGTAAAATACATAACGACGATGCTGTGATGACAAAATTTCGATTCACATTGGACACGAATAATACCTCTGATAAATTGAAAAAATAATATGTACAGTCACATTAAATGTCATTTGTAATTATCTAGATTTTCTTTAACATTTTGCCTATAGACAATAGGACTTATTATTGTGAATGCGAATTGAGTATAAGCCGATTTCAAAATACGTTTGATATATAACGTTAGTTATTTGTTATCAGATATATCATTGTAATGCATTTAGCTTTTAAAATGTAAATAAAGTAAAATTATTTTGCTGAATAGTCAAATAATAGAAATATTAAAAAATGATTAATGTTAAGAATTATTCGTAATCATTTATAGATGCTAATATGTTAAATATAGTTTCATTTTCATAATCTTTTTTCATTGTAAAAATCTTTATTATTTTCATATATAGGTATGTATGAAGTGGTTTCAACGTGATCTGTCTAAACGCCTATCGCTCTTGTACCCAAAAATTTTTTGCTTAGATTCGCCAAATTGAAATATTGTTTACATTCCATTGTAAACTCATCGCTCGATTATAAGACTGTTTACAACAAATAAATTGAAATAATAATGGTTTGTTGTTTTATTTTGATATCGAAGCTCAGTGCCTGGATAGCAATAAATTGATATACCCTCTGTTAAATTTATGCAAATATTTCATTGTTATTTTTTGATATTTTGTTGAATTGATTGCAAACTTTCCTGTTTTGGTTTTACTTAATTGTTTGATTTTCCTACTGGTAGTGTCAAAAACCGTTAGCTTTCCTCAATTATATTTTATATGAACTGTTTATATATTTTTAAATGTTTTGCTTATTCTTTTAATTAATAGTCAGCAACAAAAATAGTGCATTAGAAACATTACTGGGTTCCAATGAAGTTAAGTCAGATTTCTTTCACTTGTCAACAACTTTTAAACAGTCCTTTTAAATTGGGTAATTTGGTTAAATTGCTCGTTAGTGTTTTTTTTTTTCAAAAAACGCCAGCTTCTCACGAAATTAGCAAAAAATGAGCTGCGTTACAAGTTTCCCATTGGTTGATCTAGTGAAAAATATTACCATAGATCTAAAATATCTATTTTCCTTAATAGTTTCATTTATTCCTTACTTATAACTGTTATCCCCGACTCCGTCTGATCAAAATAACCAGCAAACTACTCGCGCGCGGTAACGCATAATTTCGAGATCAGGATAAAAAGTAGCGTAAATAACTATGTCACCTACCTGCTATAAAGGTCCCGTCAAAATCGATCCAGTTATTTCAATGAGTAGCTGTAACAAACAGACAGAGAGACATCAATATTTCTAAAAAAATATTTTGATGTATATACCGTATATATTGTAGTAGACAATCCAATTTTATTTATATAGATAAGATGTTTGCATATAATTATGATTTTTAAATTCATATTTGTGAGTAATAAAAAAATACCACAGACAATTATGATAACACTGATAACTGTTTACAAAATTCTCAATATAAATTTATGATTTATCTATAATAATTATTTTAACTACAATACCTGCCCAATCAAACTTTTTTAAACTATTTTCTTTGTTCCACTATCCATTTTATTCAGTCTCACGAAAAACATCCTATTATAATTAGCTTTGCTTAATTTTAGTAATGTCTTCTATTTTAAAAAATTCAGGTCAACAATTTTCAATCCATATTGAATTCTTATAAGAGGTATCTACAAAAAACCTGTACTCGTCGTACAATGGTGGCATTACGATATTTTATAAGTCATAATTTAAATAATTCTTCTTTTTATTTCACCATTCATATGCGGATGATATCCAAATTTATGATAGCACCTGCGTCAATGACCTTTCCGCGAGATATATCCAGATTAAGGGAGCCTTATCAGAAATTACTATTACAACTGCTTAAAGCACGTCTTATGGCTTAGAAATCTATCCGATCACATAGAAATTATAGTTATTATAGATCAATAGAAGTAGCTATCTTGTATAGTCAGAATAATGTAAAAAGTGGCCTACAGTCCGTATATAATTAAGGTTAGCAAAACATTGAATCATTCTTACTAATGTAGGGTGTAGAAATTATTCTTTCAAATACCATAAAAAATATTTTATTAATTCTTCATAATGGTTACAGCTGCACTTCTTCTTAATAATTATATTCTTTTCTATAATAATTCTTAAATAACAATCAAGCCTTGATTTCTATTTAATTTCTAATCTTCGCATGTGACCATGTCTCTAAGTTGTAGATGAGATTCGTGGCTATCAATTCACTCTTTCCGGGTATAATGACACCAATATTTCGAGTAAGTCTTTATTCATATCTATTCTTGTCACTACAAATTCTTTAATGATAAATCTGTGACACATACTTTTTTGGCTTTGATTAAGATAATGGTAGAGAAATATTATGACATCACAATCGATTCATATATAAATATATGTACCTATCAAATTCTTCAAAAAAACCTAAGAAATAATAACATTTTTATCTATAATTTTTTTGCCTTATTTTGTACAAACATATATCTGTGAATATTATCTGTAACATTTTTTTGCTTACTCACTTAATTATAGATTTGTGTTTTCAATACTTTCACTTTCATCTTTTATAAGTCATTTCCTCAAAGGTTATCTGGAAGGTATTTTTCATAAACGATGAGGCCGCCTCTTGAACTTTCCCTCACATTTTATTTATAGTATTTCTCTAGTTTTTATATTTTTTAATCTTTATTATGAGCAATTTTATTTTGAAATTTCCGTCGCCAGTATTTACATCGATTCAGTTTTTTAATTTACAATATGATAAAAAAAATATAATAAAAAAAGTCAAGGCAATAACAACATTATTATTGCATATATAAATATTACTATCAATTAATAATACATTGGAACTTTGTGTAACATTCCGAAGCTAATTTCAATCAAAATGTACAGCATTCCACAAAATCCGGCTTTTGTGATATCCATAATAAATCCATAAAGATATTTTTAGGTATTCAAATATATTTCATACCAAACATATAATATTTATTTGTAACTTGAATATCCAACATTCTATCTGTATTGCAAATAAGCTAAACATTCACATCGATACATTCCCGGGAGCGTTCAATGAAATATTGCCTCCATCGCTATTACTACCGCATTATAACATACTTCCGAAGCTATTCAATATTATAACCTATCAACATAAGTATTACGTCCATTTTGCTCTGTATACTTTGCCTTTCAACGATAAAATAAAGATATAATCCATCGTTATTTTTTTTGACCTTTGTCGAAGTAAAATCATTTTTTAAACATTAAAGAAGTTTTCTTAGAACACAACAAGTAAGATTGTGTTATCTTGTATTTATTATTCTATAATATCAACTCAATATTGCAACAAAAAATAGTCTTGATTACGTATCTTATTTTATCTGATAAAGTAAAAAGTGGTGATAACAAAAATATCAAACTATTTAGATATAAATGCTTCGACGAAATGAAAACTATTTGAATGAGAACTTGATTAAAGAAATTTATACTATCATATTTTATAAGCCATGAAACCTTTTCAAGATTCAATTTTAAATTAATACAATTAATTTTATTATATGGTATACTTTAAACTAGTTTATAACGTATGCTTAATTCATAAATAAATTGATTACTAAAAATTAAAAAAAAAAAATGTAAGTAAAACAGCAAAAGTGACTGCGTTCAGTGTATAATGTCTCTTTTAGGGAAGAAATGTTTAATCGTGAATAATTTAACAGTAGTTGACATTTCAGTGATATACTTATTATTTTGTATTTTATCGTCTACATATATGGCATATAAAATCAGAAATTAAATTGTAGCCATATATATAATTTATAAAATAAATGTTAACTTACTACGAAATGTTTACTTATTCATCAATTTATACGTACATGGTCGAAAGTAAAGGCAATATTATTTG